CGTCTAATGGGTTGACTGGTGGTATTATTACCCGAAATGGGCAAGGGTTCTGCTAACTGCATTCCCCCAAAACCTCTCAGAATTCCAAGACCTCAAACAGCCCAAAAACCCTTTTGCCTTAATCCACAAGCCTTAAACCCTTAGGCCCTTAAGCCACAAATCCCAAACGCTTAAACTTAAGCCAAACTCTGAACCCTAATCGCTAAACCCTCAACCCTCATCCCTAAACCCTTAAACCCCAGACAGCGAAGGCCTCCAAGAGACCAAGGAGGCCCGGTTCCCGTCCTCGCTGCTGGAGCCTGCCGGGCCTTTGAATCTTGGCCTGACTTCAGGGTCCTGTTAAAGGGTCCTTTTCAAGGGTTCGGGGTTTAAGGTCTAGGGTTCCGAAGGGATTACCAGAAGGCTTCCAGTGACGAGAGCCAGGGGCCTTCTTTCAGATTTTGAGGCTTTGGTTGCCGTACGCCCGGCTACCTAAATACTCGGCTATTGGTTACATATCACATGACTAGTCACCCACGATCTACGTAGCCAGAGCGCTAGAGGGCAAAGGGAAGAGGGTGGACCAGGCTGGGGAGGCCCTGCAGTTTCCTTGTTTGGGTGTCTTGTGTGATGATGTGTGATGGGCTTCAGTTGGCCTTGGGCTTGTCCGGTGCTTGAGGCTAGACGCTGCGAAGAGTTCAGCAGCCCTGGTTGAGACCGCAGTGCTTCGGGAAGCCAATCCTACCACGGGCTAGCGCTCCGAGCTATTCAGGAAAGTCGAGCACCTGAAGACTCGCCTCATGGAGATCAAAGGCTCGCAGATAGAGCCTAAGAGACACCCAATCCCTTAAGCCCCACTGGTCCCTGCCCCCTGGCCCCATGAACCTTGCGTCGGCTGTTGGACTGCAAACATTGAGCCATTCTGATCCTTCACAGAACTGGAGACAAACAAAATCCAGGAGATCTGCTGAGTCCTGTTTTTGACCTGATGCCGGCAAAATCATGAACCCGAGGCCGAGCTCAGGACTTGTTTCGATCAAAAAGGGCAGCAGCAGACGGGTACTGTCTCCATCGAATCTCAGTCACTGCTGCAGGCCGCGTGCTCTACTGCAACGACAAGTGGCAAGAGCAGCACATAGAGAAGCCTCAGGAAACAAAGCCACGAAGGACCGGAACATGCAATACAGCTTCAGGAGGGTGCCGCAGGTAAGTTGAAACGTCACAGTAAGGCGTTTCTGCAAATTGCAACCAAGCAGTCAAGTTCGGCCAGCAGGCCTAGTTCACGTCAGGGCTCTGCGAAAGGACTTCTTGAGCAGCACCAGTGTTGTGCAGGATGACGCTAGAGGTGTACGATGTCTCGTGAGCCTCTGGTGGCTGCGCCTGAGGCTTGGGGCTTTGGTGTCTCTCGGGCGTTAACCTGCGGATCATGCTTCGAGCTTGTTGCAGAAGGATGGCTTCGAATCATCTCAAGGTGTAGTGTTCTCGACGAAGGGGATCACCTCGAAGCACGAACTCGCAACGGAGCTACGCTCGTGTCCGAGTGGCCCCTAAACTGAGGCCCGTACATCCCGTACATCCTTTCCTTTCCTTATCAAGGAATTGTGGTGGCTCCGATAGCACTGTACCATAGCACAGCCACAAATCACCAATATCTTGCATGTCATGCTTGTGTTGCGTCAGTGCGTCACATGATCCAGCAACCAGCTTTCACACTGTCGCTCCGTGTGTTTTACCCATTCCCTCCGGTGAAGATGAGTGGACGTGGCCGCGGTGCGGGGTTGACGGTGCACGCAGGTATATGACGCCCTACATAGACAATACTCGCATAGAATCGAACTCTGGACTGCACCATGTGCTACATACGAAAGTGCGAGTAGCAATAGCAGACAAGCTCAAGTGTTTTATAGGAAATTATTTTGGCAAATGTCTAAGTCTAGGTGTCATAAGAATGCCATAACCATAACCCGGACAACAACCCGCGGGCTCGTTTGCTGCTTTGGTGCTGGTGCGCCGATGCGTCCTGAGCACGTGGCTCCTCGAAGAGGAGCCTCAGCCGTGTGAGAGGTCGAGGAAGCTACTTCATATGCCAAAGGTCCATTGGATTTATAGTATTATTCCGCTCTGCCTACGCCTAACGACTCCACAAAGCCTTCGAACACCAGATTAAACACGAAGGTCGCCAAGCCCGCAATCGGATAAGGCTTCAAGACTCTCCACGGTGTCGGCCTCGCAGAAATCCTGGGTCAAGCCCACCAGACATAAACTGACATTGTCGGCAGGAAGCTGTCTTGCCTTGTCAGTGCGACTGTGTGGCTTGGACCAATAGTATTTTCCGGGACAAATCTGTGCATCAATGCCTGATCGCCTTGACCATGAGCTAGGATTCATTCATAGGTCTGAGGAACCTCGTCTTTGTTGTGCTGGACGAAGCGGAGGACAGGAAGACGTTTCAATCGTCAAACACGTACGCAACTCTGCCCCCCAACTTCAAGTTAATGGAGATGCACGCTGTGACATTCTGTTTACCTGTTTGTAAGGTGCTGAGCACTGTAGGCTACACCCTTAGCCCAAGCCGCCAGTTACTTGTGTCATGGTCATGGACGGATGGACATGAACTGCAGCGTTTCGCAAGCGGCTCCCCCCCGCTCTGCCACGCTGCTCAAGGGTTCCAAGTGTACAGATCTCTCGTAAGTCTCACGTTGGGCCCAAGTTGCCTCGGTCATCGCCAAGCCTTCCCGTCACCGCGATGGGTTCTCTCCGTCGAGCGCGCCGGAGCTGATCCGACCACCATCCCCCGTTAAAGAACGGCCAACGGTCCTCGGATCCGGTTAGCATCACAGTAGCCACAGTCAGGGATGATGATAATGATGACGGTCGTTATTTTCGTGTGATCACGCTTGCTATAATTTTTGCCACCGCGATGACGACTACTCGTAATGAGGTTTCAGAATTGGTCACGGCCGGAAGTCCAATACGGATCGAGGTAACTTGTCGGATTGCAGGGTCTTCGTTCTGATCAGCCGTTGCGAGCCGGGAGTTTACCTGTTTTCGACGTTAGCGGAGATTAGGAAGTTTAGGGGGGCGAAGCGGCTTGCGCCGCACCCGTCTGACGGGCCCATGTGCGTGACAAAAGCGTGCAGTCACGTCCCAGCAGGTGACGTCAATCCCTTCTCAACCCGGCTCGGTTGTGGTTCACGTTCAGGCGTGTTTGGGGTTTAGGAGTTTTCGATCCTAAGACCCACATGCGAGGGCCACGGACCCCCACCGAGCACCGAAAGCCTCTGGTCCGTAAGAGGTCGTGGAAGCCAATCTTAGATTGATGCCAGGCCTGTAGCACCACATCCATGCAGAACACAAGCCTTGTTCTTCCCACAGAAAGTCCAACATCAAGGTGTAAGACAAGGAAGCAGGAGTTAAGCTTGCAGGCTTACCAAAGCCACTGCAGCAGGCCAGCCTGTGTCTGCTTTGGGTCTTTACGCTCGCATGGGTCTCTGGACTTGCTGCCGGGGCTTTCGGAATGGTGCAGAGCTCCAGAGGTTTCCACGCCAGTCGTGCAGAGAGAACCTGTATCTTCGATGACGGTACTTTCCGACTCTGAACCAGATCCTTTCACTTAAGCTGCCCGGCAGGACAATGAGGCCGTACCGAACAACAGTCCGTTTCGGATGCAACGAAACCTGCAACTCAAAGCACTCGCAGTTGTTGTCGTCGTTGCTGCTGCTGCTGCCGGTGATGCTTCCGTGGTTGGCGTCCATGGTTTGTCTTTGTGAAAGTTCAGGCTTCGAAGGCGGCGCGGCCTTCTTAGATCTCGAGGATTTGGAGGAGCAGCCTCGGGGGAATCGCTTTGCCTCGAGCCTGTAACCGACAAAAAGCCATTTGAGGCGCTCCCGGCCCCGGTTGACCCCGGAATCCCCGAAGACCCACGTGGTGCTCCGGTGACGCGTCGCTCTCAAAAAACCATCACCGCCGATCGCACAGGACCCATGGAACGGCGGCGTCAAGGTGCAGCAGTGGAGTCGGCCTCAAAATCCCCAAAGAGCTTTGATGAATCATATAAGATGTTAACCATGAGAGACGTAATATGATATAGTTCGATATGATATACAGCATGCACACATATGTAAATATATGTTCATATGAGATATATCTACGCATAACCAGATGGTAAACAATACAAAATGCTTGAATAGAATCTGTTCAATAGAAATCTAAGAACCAAAGACTATCTAGCCTCGTATATCTTAGCATAACACTACGGTCCCGGAGAACAGTTGAAGCCTTCAGGGCTGCTGCTCTTGAATCCGGCCAGTTCACTGCGATGCCGCCTGCGAAGCGATTCTGTGACATCGCGCTCCTGTCAGGCAGCTTGGCGGGGATGGGAGGATTCTGAAGAAGGGATTGCACCGTTCTGGATGTACCTGAGCACATCCGAGCACAAAGTTGTTGCATCCACTTTTGCTCTTCATTTGAACGAAGACTTGGCGGCTCACCGATGGTGGCCGAGCGCCGACATGCCACGGAGGTTTGAAGCAGAAGGGCCGTGCAATCATTCCGGACGAGGTGGGGAGAAAACCGTGGCGGCGATGGCACTTCTCTTCGCTATGCAGTCCTTCCAGAGGCCGTTAAGTTTCAGCATCTTTTCGGAAGGGGCAGTGTCAGGGAGCGCCTTGCCAATTTTGGGGGATCCTTGGAACCATCGGTGGACAGAGGGCGCCTGCTTGGACCTCGGAATGTTTTGGAGCGCCGACAGGCCTCCCTTTCTGATCCTGGACGAGGTTGATGCCTACCTGGACCACTCTAACGTGCAGGCACGAGGAAGGGAAGGCGAAGGCTGCAGGCTGCAAATCGATCCTGCCTCAGGCGCTTGCCAGCTACATCGCCTCCGTGGACTGCCAGCTGGCGGCTCAGTTCCAGGGCTGACAAGACGCCGATGCGGCGATGCCGGTAGAAGCCGACAGGGCGATCGTCATCTCCCACAAGCACCGCTTCTTCTCGCACGGCGAGGCCCGAACCCGAACGACCCTTGGTGTTGGCGTTGGGTGGTGGGTGCAAATGCAAATGTCGGATGATCTGCAGAGGAGTCCTGCCAGACTTCTACATTTGCACGAGCATAGAAAGCCGTGAAACCGCAGATGTTTTCAATGGCCAGGGCCTGGTCGGCGTGTCGAGAGATCGGGAGCGCAACGCCTCGGTATCCTGACAGCTTGTGCTGGGGATCAGGGATTTTGAGATTCGGGATGTGGTGCCTTCGGGAGGAAAGCGATGGTCGCCACTGTTTCGGATCCTGCATGTGCAGGCTGAGGAAGTAGTCTGAGGAATTGAGAATTCTTAACCCTCAACAAGTAACGGCCAGAAGAAAGCCCGAAGCCCCGGTAGCCCCGCTTTGAAGTCGAGGTCGTCTTCACCATGGACCTGGAGCGCATCCGCCGAGGCCAAGCGCAGCGAGCCGCCCCCGAGGTGGTGCCTCTGCAGTGAGGGCGAACCCGCCCAAGTGTTTTTTTGGGAAACTTCTAGGCAGTGAACGTGGCCGTCGAGGTTCCGTCCCCGCCATCCACCTGCTTGTTTTTTGAACTTTGTCTCGGGACGCTTCGTTAGCCGCACAGTCGGACAGTGCTGGCAAGGGGGCCTGGAGCGAGATTCCGTCGTCCCAACTTTCAACCGGCTCGGATCACTAGCCTCCATTGCGGCCTGTACGCGATTATACATGATTGGCAGCTCCTGTTCAGATGGCTTAGTTGTCACCATAATCTTGAACAGTGCCCAATTGCCACCGGTGCAGTGTGTTCACTGCAGACTGTGCGATCGAAGATTGGTGGTTGCGGGATCCGGCAAATAAGTCTCGTGAACGGCTTCCCTGAAGTCAAGAAAGTCAGGATCTAGTTGATGTGGCCGACGAGTAAGGCTGGGACATGAGTCCCATCGATTACACTCCACATCGATGAACCAAGTTTCCTGAACACCGGAGGAAGTGACAACATTGCTGATGCTGCTACTACTACTACGACTACTACTACTACTCCTGCTGCTGCTGCTGCTACTACTACTACCACTACCTACTAGTATTACTACTATTAC